TAATTCTAGGTTTTACAGGACATGGCACATTCCATAGCCACCTGCTTTAGACTTCTTGCTGTGCCAGTCAGTCGTCCAGCTGCAGAAGGCGTATAAATGTGGACCAAATCTGGAGTCGGGGCTTCGCCTCTTCGGCTCTTCGGCTCCACCGCTATCGGATTGCTGCTGTTCGAGTGTCATCATCGAGAAAGGATCCCTCCCTTATACGACCCCAAGGACGACAGATCCCAGCAATATTATACGCGCTGTAGATCCAGTTCGTTACCGTTGTTCACTATAGTTATAACAATAAATTATTAGTATTACTCTGATTCAATCTGTTAAAGAAAGGCCCGCGTGGCACATTATCGGTATCGGCCTAGTATATACGTGATATAGGTCCGTAATAGTTGGTATATCTCCTATACAAATCTAGTGCAACGTACACTACAGACTGGTGCAGCGGTCAAAAGGACCAGGTCGGTCAAGACTTCTATTTTCCGTAGTCTAAATTCGAGTGCGGCTTTATTTTTTCCTCAAGATTGGATTTTATTTCCGCACTCAGCCATTTTGTCAATAACGGTTCTCTTACGTTTTTCTTCGATTCGAATTTTCCTCTCTCAATCTTTGCAATAGTCGGAACATTTTCACTCCGAGACCATGGCCTCTCAGCTCGCAACTCGTAAACGTTTAGTCACAATGTTCACCAAGAAATTAGAGCATGTAGTAGAAGAATTTAAAATAGAGAAACTTGAGGAATCTTCGTTTGAGTCTAACTACCCAGGAAGAACGGACTGATACCATCTTTCGCTTGGAGGAAAGCATCAGCGCGATACAGTCAATATCGGACAAAGTGGAAAAAGTCCGTTTGGAAATAGCAACTGCTGCTGAAGGCCTGGAAAATAGCGAGAGAGAAGAAACAGACGTCCTCGATAGTTACATGGAAGAGGGAGAGACGGCGCTTCCTATGGCCTTCGATCACCTTACACTTCTTCGAGCCCAACTGCGAGATTTGTCATCAATGACCACTGCGCACAGCGACCGATCTCTGCCAGTTGGTGCAGTACAAGGGTCAGCACAAACATCGCCAGCTGCGATGACTCACGTGCAGACAAAACAGTTGGAGTTACCCCCTCTCCCAATCCCACTGTTTGCGGGGAACATATGGGAATGGGACAACTTTTGGGAAATATTCAACAATAATATCCATTCAAGGGATATACCCGAAATGGTCAAATACAACTACATATTTACTGGACGTCTTAAAAGGGGAGGCTCGAGAGTGTATCATGAAGTTCAGAGTGACAAAAGAAAACTATGCAAAGGCGGTAATGTGTCTCCATAACAAATATAGCGACGGAGAAAGGCTAGTGAACCAACTAGTCGAACAACTAGAAGCCTGCATGCTGAATCCCCTTCAATAAAGGATCAGCGCTCCCTTTTAAAACAACTTCAAGCCATCACCGCCCAGTTGGAAGACAAAGGGGAAGACATCAATAGTTCTTGGCTGATCAAGAAAGTCTTGGCTAAATTCCCCGATTCCACAAAAAGGAAGGTCATCACTAGAAGACAAGGTCTTTCTGGTACTCCATTTACAATGATCAATCTCTTCAAGTTCATAGATGAGATTCTATCGGCAGAAGAGATGTTCCAATTGTATACCGACAGCAGTCCACGAACCGCGTGAGGGCGTAACTTCTATGCGAACAGACGACCTTACCAACCAATGACGACTACGTGCATGTACTGTAAAAAGGGTCATTCAGCCATGCACTGCACTACATATACCACGCCCCAAGATAGGTCGGCACACCAGAGACGCAATAAGCTTTGCCTCATATGTGCATCATCTTCTCATGCCTCGGATCAATGAAAGAGCAGCCCTTGCTTCAATTGCAATGGTCCGCATTACACATCGTACTGTTTTAAACCTAAACAGCCGAGACCTTGTCGTCCACGCAGGACAGAGGCCCTGTGAAAAACAAAAGTGGGTTTTTCAAGAAGTACAAAGGGAAGGAAAAGACAAAAGGGAATACCAATAAAGGATCCCCACGCACGGTTCATTCGAATACAGTGATTACCCAGGACGAGTTCGGGAACAATCCTGGAAAGGCATCACTTCCCCCCGTTCACAGTGCCTTGAGTGCACAAGATACTCCTCACCCTTCTTTGCCCACGGGAGAATTCACACTATTGGATCCGAAGGCAGGGGGTCTTATTAAAGTGGACGTTTTATTCGATACTTGAGCCGAGATGTCATTTATAGATAACACCCTAGCGGGGAAGCTTCACCTACCGGTGCTTGAGAGCGACACATTAAGTTGAGCACTTTCGGTACAACTGAGGTAGCCAAACGAAAATGTTAGAAAGTGCGTGTAGACGTATGGGACCGGGAAGGGACCCCCCACTTCCTTGAATTACTCACATACGATACTTTGACCCACTCTTACGCCTCGCCGCCACTTTCAAATCAAGATTAGGAATTCCTCCGTACTCTCAATTTGCCAGTAAATCTCAGACAAGGGAAGCGAGTCATTCAGCCATCTATCCTTTTAGGGTGCGATTTGCTTTGGTCATTCGTACGGCATGATACCTCCCCACTAGCACTTCCATCGGGATTGCATATTTTACCCACGAAACTAGGTAACCTGATCTGCGGGAAGCCCAGAGAGAACAATCGGAAAATCCTTCATGTTTCACAATATCAGGAAAACGAAGCGGACTAATGGGACCAATATTGGTCAATGAGCTCCGTCAGGGTGTTTACAATGAGTGAGAGCGATGAAGAGATATCGGTGGAAGAAAGAGACCAGTGGGAGCAATACTGGTCAATGGACTCAGCCGGGACAGAAGAATTCCAGGGACCGGAAAAGGAAGCTCAAATCAAGCTGGATGAACAAGTCTGGGAGCAATTCAATAGGTCTATCGAAAGACGAGAAGATGGTTATTACGTGCATTTGCCATGGAAGGTGCAGCATCCACCTTTGCCAGACAACCGAGCACTAGCTTTCAAACGTTTACGCCATGTTTGGACTCCGCTGAAGAACAACGAACAATTGCTGGTTCAGTACAATGACTCTTTCGAGATCAGCTCAAGCAAGGCATAGTGGAACTGGTAGGCGGTAACGATTCAAGAGAAGGAACTCAAGTACATTATATCCTGCATCAACCTGTCCTGACTCCGCAGAAGGAGACTACGAAGCTCCTCATCGTCTTTGACGCTTCCGCTTCCAAGGGCAGTCCTTCGCTCAACGACGTCTTGCATAGAGGTCCCGTAATATTACCAGCACTATATGGCCTCCTACTTCGTATGCGGATTGGTCATATAGCCTTGATATCTAACGTTGAAAAAGCTTTCCTTCGAATTTGTCTTCATGAAAAGGATCGGGATGTGACTCGCTTCTTATGGCTTAGGAATCACAAGAAACCCCCATCAATAGATAACGTACAGATATTTCGTTTTACGCTGGCCACTTTCGGATCAAAGCCGTCCCCGTCCCTTTTGGCAGGAACAACCTACTATCACGTGGACATGCACGAAGACAAGGACCTGGTGCAGGAACTTAAGACCAATATCTATGTGGACAACCTCCTTTTTACCTGTGATACATGCGAGGGAGCGCGACAATTTTATATCAGATCCAAGGCAATATTCCGAGAGCTCAGAATGAGTTAACGGGAGTTTACCTCCAATAAGGGAGAAGTTATGAACTCGATACCACAGGTAGACAGAGCAAAAAGTCGTTGTTCAGAGGTGCTTGGAATTGAGCTAGATGAAGAGCTAAGAGAGAGCAATCCGAAAGCGCAAATCCTTTCGAATGACGACTATATGGACAGACTGATCCGAGAAGATGATTGGAACGATCACCAATTCGCAACGGGTGAATGCGATGGAAAATTTCGATGCCAGCAAGATATTAAAAGGATAAAGGATAAAGTTTTTGGCGTTAATCAATTCCGTCTGAGGGATGCGCCCCCGCACTCGACTTCCATTCAGAATCGTAGTGGCGCAATGAGTGCGCATGTGGCCTATACAATGACTTGCGGTAACCAGCCGATGTACAAGTGAGTGCTTTTATCCTCCCAGACGAGTCTGGTACCAATTCACCGACCCCGGAGGGATGGAAGGCTTGGTTGGCCTAGGCGGGCATGGATCCGGGATTCGAACCCCTGACCGTGCGTGTGATATAGTGCGCCAGTTGCCACTGCACCACCTCCGCCCTCCAGCAAGATATTGCTATGCAAAAATGCACAAGAAAGGACGATCGAAACAAGGATCAATCCAAGACTTGCAACGCGGAAAAGTCACCTTAAGGCAAGCAAGAGAGGCCTACGCTGAAATACAAAAGACCGTACGACCGTAGCAGGCCTGCACCACATTGCACAAGACAGCACGATCGGAGCAATCAATCAACGGTCAGCCGAAGAGAGCAGTCACCTTCACGTGAGATAAAACGCTTGGAGAGAGACCTTCAATCGCTCAGAAAAGGGCTCCGACGACTGCCTCAAAGAAGAGTTGGGGAACGATCTCGAGAGGCTGGTGTATATGCATTCTGCAAAGTACGGAACGACCACTTTTCTGATTCCTGTCCGGAGTGCATCAAAGGGGATCAACGGTTCAAGATCATAATGAGAGAAGGAATCTGTCAATACTGCCTCAGGAAATGCAACAAAAGGGCGGATGAATGTCGACAAGCCAACGAACAATGCTGGTATCGTTCGATCGTGAGAAATAGCGTGCTAGACTTCATTATCCCGGACGACGACGGACACCACCGCGCACTGTGCTCCGTACCAGACTCTAAAGACCGAGTTCGACACGCCATTTGGAATGGGCGTACTCAGCTGGAGATACTTGAGCGCCTCGGCAGTAAACAGTAGTGCACCCGAGAGTGTAGCGAATACTACTTTGTGTATAGAGAGGTTTGCTTACTTATGGAGTTTAATCATATTATAGTTACATCTGATTAATATTGCTTTCTGAGCCCATAGTTAGAGACTAATTTTAGGTTTTACAGGACATGGCACATTCCATAGCCACCTGCTTTAAAATTCTTGCTGTGCCAGTCAGTCGTCCAGTTGCAGAAAGGCGTATGAATGAGGACCGAATCTGGAGTCGGGACTTCGGCTCTTCGGCTCTTCGGCTCTACCGCTATCGGATTGCTACTGCTCGAGCGTCACCATCGAGAAAGGATCCCTCCCTTATACGACCCCCAAGGACGACAGATCCTAACACTATTGGACGCGCTGCAGATCCAGTTCGTTACCGTTATTCACTATAGTTAAAACAATAAATTATTAGTATTACTCTGATTCAGTCTGTTAAAGAAAGAGCGCGTGGCACATTATCGGTATCGGCCTAGTATATACGTGATATAGGTCCGTAATAGTTGGTATATTTCCTATACAAATCTAGTGCAACGTACACTACACGCTGAAATGGTAAACCATAAGGAGAATATTGGTCAAATTAACATTCAGAACGCCACTACTGCTCTGAATAGAACTCGATTGCGGTGGAGCATCCTATAAAAACGATCAAATAACGCTCAAGACGTCGTCCTTTTGTCCTTTGCGTCCAACTAGGGACCGATTTCTTCACTGTGCAGAGTTTGTATACCAAAACAGAAGCTGCTCACAAAAGCTCAAGTGAGGCACAAATTGATTGTGATCAACTAGGGCGACTAAGTGCAGAACTTCCAATCAAGACGATGAAGAGGGTCCGAAGTCTTCTCCCCGAATACGGCGTCGCGCAACCAACTAAAAGTTTTGCGTCCTATCGATCGGCGGGAGGCGGGTGAGTAGGGAATTGCAGTGACATTTACCGCATGCCGCAAGGGAGAATGATGCAATCGGGGAGAAGTTCCGTTACCCCGATGAAGGGGAAGAGCTCTTTATTGACGTACAGAGCTATCACGTGTCGGCTTGCTGCCGGAATTCATCTTTTTACGTTAAAAATTTTTTTGAGAGTCACAGTGCAAAGCATTTTAGAACCTGAAATATTCTTCTGAATTTTGTAGACATTTTGAGTTGCGTTTAGGCTTCTGATGATGACGAGTACGTCGAAACGTTAGGCCGTTAGTTCTATAACGAGTTCCACCTAAAAACTCCGAACGGTAGAAGAAATTCAGTGTCGCAAACGATAATGTCGAGGTTGAAACAACAGAGAAGCTGAGAAATATTTGTCAGAAAATAATTTCAGATCAAACTTATGTCAGGAAAAATGGCTATAGAGCCAGTTATGTTCTGTTTGAAGTGTTAATCTCTAATCAGTTCTACTGAATTGCAGTGACATTGAACTGGCAAGGTACAGGTGCAGCAAGAGCCCTTATATAGAAAGATGGGATTCTAAACCCACTTGACATGATTAGGCCGTTCACGATCGAAAACGTACCGACACATTCCTTTGCTGTAAGTTCACTTGCAAATTTTGTAAGAAACCCTTTGTGGTTGGCGAATAGTGCTTCAATGGCGAAGAAAACGAGAAAATTGGACCGTCTTGCAAGAAGTATCGTCTCCCAAAAAAATAAATAGAAATAAAACTTCTACGGGATTTCTATGACAAAGACAGCATGGAGGGGTGTTCGGACCAAATTTCGGTCGTTGCAGTTGCGTAAGGAGCTGACGACAGTAAGCCAAGAATGTCCAAAACTACAAATCCAGCGTTGCCGTTGCTTTCAACTACTTGTTTGAATTTCCAACACAGGTGTAACTTGTAATTGGTGCAGCCCCTACAACGTCATTAAAATTCGCATGGCTTGGATGTGGCATACCGCCAATACAATCTTTGAGTCATTAAAACGTCCCATCTAGACGCTTTCCAATCTGATAGCGCCACAAATGGCATATGAGTGGACCACAAATTTATCCTTAGAGCATATATCAGAAACCATTTTTATGGCGAACTGTGCCATCAGCTGGAAAGAAGCACCCTATGTTTTCTCGAATATTGGGAGTTCTCCTTTCGCTCCGTAAGTGACCGCATTTGAGTACGAAACAAATAGTAAATTTCGGACAGATGTTGCGTAAATCAGCAACATACTGCGGTGTAAAGAGGTTACTTGAGAAGAACCACCGACTTGTGCCAAGTATGAAAAAGTTCTGATGGCTTAGCTCGAGTTGAGTATGAAAAAAATTTTAATGGCTCCGACCCGGTTTTAATCCAGCAATTATCTGGAATTAATGGTGTGCACAGAGAGCTGCAGAACTGCTTGGAACTTATTGTTCCCTTGTCGAGTGATCTACGCAACTACCAACCTGAAGACCGTACTTTCAAATGTGGAAAACAGGACAACAGAAAAATAATTCCTCCAATGGGCATCAATGTGATATAGCTCGAAAAGCATGGGTACAAGTAGGAGAGCTGTTGCCATTATTTCAAGTCATGGCCAATAGCTGTAGTAAAACCAGTTTACTTAGTTGGATTTATTGTATTCACCTCACCTATATCACCTGTCGTCCCCTCAATCTTCAATTTCCTCTAGCGGGCGCCAGTAACGTCTCCATTCGCCCCTATTGCGAGCCAGAGCAGTCCAGTGAATCGTTCTCCCTCAAGGTACACGAGGCGAAGTATTGCTTTCGTCCAGAGCTTCTGTAAAGACGTCTGACCATCGTGCTGGCCGCCGTCGTGGTATTTGTTCAACTTCCTGATGGATCCAGGCGGTAAACGTTCTGGCCCAGCGGCCCATCGATTTTCGATTTCTTGGCGTAATGGGCATACCTGATTTGCCTTCGTCGACAGAGCTCGGAACTCCTAATTCACTTCTGCACTTGCGTGTATAGGAAAATTCCGAGCATCGTCCTTTCCAAAGCGCGCTGAGTAATGCTGACAGCGTGCTCATCCTGCTTTCGTAGAGTCCAAGTCTCTGAGACGTATGTCAAAGCGGGAAGGATCGCAATATCGAAAAGGTGAGCGCAAAGCCGGATGTTTATCGTCTCCTTTACTACTCCCTCGATATTCATAAATGTTCAACATGGTGCGTGTTTCTTTCTGCTCAGCTCCGGTGCTAGTCCATTCATCAAATTGACTTCCCGACTCAGATACACATAGTTATTGCATTCAGAACTATTCGTTCCGCGTAGCGTAGCATCAGGTAACTATCCGTTCCTCATGGAAATCTTCATCGATAAGTTTGGCCTCAAGCCGATCTTTCAGAGCATGCAGAGATATTCCTTCCGTACAGCGTGAGGGAGCATCAAGTACCAATCCGTTTTTCGTGAACATCGTCTTCGTTAGATTCAGTTTCAAGCCGATCCCTCCACAAGCGTTGTTGAATTCGGCCAGCATTTCGTCCGCCTGCTCGATGTTGGGTGTTATAAGCCCGATGTCATCTGCAAAGCGGAGATGATGTAAGTAGTGGCCGTCGAACTTCGTTCCCATGTCTTCCCATTCCATGTGACGCATGATGTTCCCAATAGCAGCACTGAAAAGTTTGGACGAAATGGTGCCGCCCCGTCGAACCCCTCTTTTCACACGTTGATGATGACCTCTTTATAGAATGGCGAGATCCTGGTCGTGAAGTTGTTGTAGAGCTCACGAGGCATCTTTATATATTGAGTAAGGACACCCTGGTTGCCCAGGGCTTCAATTACCGCTTCTGTCTCTCACATAACGGCATTTTGTACTCCCGCGATACTCTATTGACCCTTGTAACGGCGTGGATGTGATCGAGTGCACTGAACACTATCCGAAACCCTGCTTGCACGCACGGCTGTGCTTCATCTGATATTCAACAGATCTTTTGCGGATGACCCTATGAAATTGACAGCCTACAGATAGCAGGCAAATCGGGCGATAATTGGCAATGTCGTCTGGATCTCCCTTCTTATACAGCAACACGGTCTTGCTAAATTCCGAGTGGGCACTCTGCATTCTGTCAGGTACCGCGTGAAAAGCGGGGCCAGGCACCGTACCATTTCTCGTCGACGTGATGACATGTCGAATTTCGGAAGGGAGAACTGAAGGATCGGCGTATCCGTCTTGCCTAAGATTGTAGGCAGGTAGACGTGGCTGTCGAAGAGATAAGAGCAAAAGTCGTAGATGACCTTCAAGATGCAGTGACAGTTCCGTCAGGACGACGAGAGAAGCCGTTTTGGTCTTATCATTGACGAAGCTCCGACGGGCTTTGCGAATGCTCTTGTCAGCCTCAACAGCTCTAGTCGAAACTGCTGCTCTTTCTCTCTTTCGAATCTTTCTGTATCTCTTCTCTGCATAGCTTCGCAAGTTCAGACGTTAGCTTGTTACGTGTGCAGCTCGCGCGATTCCACGCTGGTGTATTAGCTCAAGAGTTTAGAGGCGAGATGTTTTTTGACATCTTTGAGACTCTCCGCTTTCCTGGCGCTATCGTGAGAATGTTCGACGAGCCGATCCTACTCTTCATCAATGTTGTGATCGAATCTCCCCGCAAACTCACCAGTGAAGCGAAGTGATCCCAGCTGACAGCAGTTTTGGGGCTTCTTTTTCTAAATTTCGCAGCTCTCTCTCCACTGAAAAACAGATTCCAGGCAGAGTAGCCCGCGGTCTGATCCAGTGTAGAACTATGGAATAACAGCGACGTCAGTCAGGCAAAACTTTCGATTGAAGATGATGTGATCTATTTCATCATGGAACTGTCCATCAAGTGCCTCCCATATCCATCGGAAATCAGAGGGCTTGTGGAAGCGCGAGTTACCATGGAAAGTGTGGGTCGACATGATGCACTCGACGCCTTTCACCCTGCTCATTCCATTCCATTCCGTGAGCCCCGATGTGGAGCTCTTCACTAGTTCGTCTGGGGCCAATATTGGCGATATGAAATCACCGACGGAGGCCTTGAAGAAAGTATGGTCTTTTCTTTGAAGCCTCTCCAGATCCATACTTCCAGCTCTTCTTCCTTCTTTTGACTTGATGTTTTGTTAACTGCTGTTTTAACGCCGCAGTGCGCGAAGCGAAAGTCTCACAAGGTTGGCGATTTGTGGGCA